CAGGCTTTGTAAGCCTGCGGCAGTTCTTATTTGCGACTGCTAAATTTAGTACTGAACATTGGAAGTGTCATATATTTTACATGTATAAATCACTGTACTTATCTTACTGTACTTTATCTTTAATCTCCTTATATAACACCAGTGTTATTGGGCTATATATATATATATATATATATATATATATATATATATATATATATGTAAATTATATGTTATTTATATAAATTAACCAGGCCACGCAGACGTTGTTTTGCCCTTTGCGGCGACCCTCTGTCCTAAAAAAGCTCATAAATTCGAGCGAGAGAAAAAATAAAAATATTGAGGGTCACTTATCGGGATAAACACTATCCTATCTCTCAAGTTGGGCCAAAATACCAAATTTCATTGAAATCAGTTCAATAGTTCATCGCGAACAAACAATGTTACACGTTATTTATATATTTATAATAAATGATAGCACGCGCGTTGCTGCCACAGAAGAAATAATTGTGGAAATATGTTTTTAAATTTGGAAGAGTTATATTTTTTTAGGAAGCTCAAGGTCGCTCAGAAAGCTATGGAGAAGGCTATCCTCGGGGTTTCTCTGTGTGATAGACTTAAGAACGAGGATATCCGCAGTAGAACCAGAGTAATCGCTATAGCCTAACGGGTTAATAAGCTGAAGTGGCAATGGGCCGGCCCTATAGCTCGAAGAACCGCCAACCCAAGGGGAAGAAAGGTTGTCCTTCCTTCTCGAGTTTCAGCCTCGTACTGGCAGGCGAAGCATAGGGCATCCCCTCTCTAGATAGAGTGACGACCTGGTAAGACATGCAGGAATTCAATGGATGGTAGCTCGGGACCGTGCTTTGTGGCATTCCTTGGGGGAGGCCTATGTTCAGCAGTGGACTTGTGATGGGCTGTATTGATGATGATGATATTCTTTAATTAAGAATGATAATACATTCTACACTAGATTATTTTTAATATAGAATTTCGTTGTTTTTTTTTTTTTAAAAGAATGAGGGTTGAAAACGAGCAATCACACAGTAAGTGCTCTTTTAAGCTGGTATTCTATGAGAGCTCGATCGATATATACTCGTAGCTAAAATATTGCTCTACAATTTTTTAAAATTTAAATTTATCACGGTATCATAGCAATAATAAAGATTAACAGGTTCAGGTAATTTTTCGTAATAAATTAAACCAAGCAGTGCAAGTCGAGCTGTTTTGTCAATGCTAGATTAATAAAATATCAGTCCAAAGTCGCTGAAAAGTAACTATCGCCATCTAGAAACAACTGCAACATGAGAGAAATTGCAGATGCGTTTGCTAGCCTTTTAAAAAATAGTGGGCTCTTTTCTTGAATAAACAGAATGTTTGACTCGAATGATCCTCGCAACGTTTGTTCTATTTGTACAAGACGTTGATAAATGTATTTATTTATTTATCTTAACAACAACAAATGTAACATTATATGTTGAATTACAAAATCGTTTGTCACGGCACCTAATTTACTTAATAAATATATTCTATACGATATTTTAAACATAACATAATTAATAATAACGCTTCTAATATTAACAAGGGTTTCATTTTACTACACAAATTTAATTAAAGAAACTGTAGCGCCTGCGAAGGATAATTCTGTAAGAGGGAGTATAGGAATGAGTACGTTGGTGCCGATTTTGTGTGTGTGTGTGTGTATGTGTGCGTGCGTGCGTAAGTGCGTGCATTCGTGCGTGCGTGCGTGCGTGCCTACATGCGTGCATGCATGCGTGCGTGCGTGCGTACGTGTGTGTGTCTGTGTTACTTCTTCATCTTATTTTTATTGTCTCCTAAAACTCTGCTGCTGGACATAGACCTCTCCTATTGTCGTAAGACATTGATCGTATAGCTTGGCAGCCATACTTACGATTGCGGTGCCAGCCAGATATCTCGAACTAGAATGGAATATAATAGAATAGAATAATTTATTTTTAATATCCTGTATATTATCCTGTATGTACGTTATGAATATCCACTACCCCATATCTGCCCGTGGGTGTCGTAAAAGGCGACAAAGGGAAACGGGCAGGAGATGGGCAGCAGCGTCTTCCTGATAACAGCATTACAATACGGTTGCCAACCCGCTAGCCAAGCGTGGCAACTATGGCAAATACCCCCCAATGATGAGAGTAACAAAGAGACGGCCCCCAGTCCCCGGCGGCCCCGCTATTCCTGACTACGGTGGCGACCATGGTAATGGCGGGGCAGGGTTCTTATATTTATTTGAACACTACACATTGAATAAAACTACTTTTACGGATTCTATCGCGTTTAATTAAATTGTTTTTAATTGATTCCCGACGTTTCGGGAACTTTATAGCACCCATGGTCACGAGGGACTGAGGTGATTGACGTCCCGATGTCAGAGTTAACCCGGAGTACCTTCAGTTTTTTTAATTATTAATATTCATCCGATTTACGAAGAATGAACTTAATGTGTCTTGAAGTATTGCAGTAGTATGCTTGGGTTTAGTTTTAATTTTATTAATTACAGGATCCCAAGCAGATGGTAGTACCTGGGAGGCTGGGTATGGTGCTAAGAATTTCCGGTGGAGGTTCGGTTGCCATCTAAGACGACTCGACCTGGCAACATACAACGCGCGCAACCTGAGGACTGACGAGAAGATCGTGGAGCAGGAAGAAGAGATAGACAAGTTACGCTGGCATATTATAGGATTATCTGAGGTCCGAAGAGAGGGCGAGGACACGGTAATCCTTGAATCCGGCAACTTGCTCTATCACAGGGAGGGCAACATTCTGTCCCAAGGAGGTGTCGGATTTATCGTCCACAAGTCTCTCGTTACCAACGTTGTAAATGTTGAGAGTGTGTCTGTGAGAGATTATTGTAATACTGGAGGGTGGATATGAATAAATCAGTCTCAGCTCGATCTCGTTGTTTGATTGCCGCGTCCCCATGTTGACATGGCGCAGTCGGAAAAGTAAATAAGTTCATTAAGTATATTACAAGTTAATTCGAATAGTGTTTAGTTAATAACATTTAATAATTATGGAAGGTGTCTTAAGTCCACCAAAACTATTTCGTTTCGACGGGAGTTCAGACTACGCAAATATAAGTGCCAGTTGGACAAAATGGCGGAATAGCTATGAAATTTATACAAAGGCATGTGAAATAACAAACAAAGCGGCGAGTGTGCAAATTAATATATTATTGCACGTACTTGGCGATCAATGCCGAGAAATCCTAGATCAAAACAAAGATTCACTTTTAAAATGCACTACCACGGAAGCTGTCTTACAAAATATTGGATAGATATTTTAATATAAAACCTAATGTTACAGTGGAACGACACCGATTTTTTACAAGGAATCAGAGAGAAAATGAGACAATAGAACAATATGTTTCCGACTTGCAGAAATTGGCTCAAACATGCGATTTCGGGGCCTTAAGAAACGGTCTTATAAAAGATAGGCTGATATGTGGCGTATCCAATTCAGCTATTCGGGAACGGCTACTAAGGGAGTACGATCTAACTTTAAGCAAAGCATTAGAAATATGTCGAGTCGCGATAGTATCGAGGGTTTATGCGGATAACATTAAACAGGAGCAGTTATCAGCATTCTTAATCAACAATAATAATCAAGCGGTCGAAAATGATGAGAATATTTGGAGTGTGCGGCACAGGAGGGATTCAAGGAGAGGATATCGCGGTGGCGTAGGTGGCGTGAGCGCGGACGCGCGCATAGGCGGACGCGGCGAACGCGGCGGCGCGTCTTGCTCGGCCCAGCGCCCGCCATGGCGCGCTCGAGGCGAGCGTGCCTTCACGGGTTCGACGCTTGGGGTGAAGCAATGTGGGCATTGTGGCAGTGTACATAAAAAGTTTGGGTGTCCCGCGTATCGCAAGCAGTGTATAAGATGTGCGAAAATGAATCACTTTGCCAGAGTCTGTGGTGCTAGTGTATTCAATGTCGAGGAGTCTGATGAGCAGGTAATATATACTGTAAAATTTAGTAGTGAGTGGAATGTTAACCTAACGATTAATAATAAGTCTGTTAATTTTAAATTAGATACTGGGGCAGATGTTAATATATTGCCGTTGTATTATTTGCCACAAAAATAATAATATATCTCGGATAAAGATTTGCTAAAAACAAATACCAAGTTATCTGGCTACTCGGGCACCGCCATAAAAGTAGTAGGGAAAATCACTTTAAAGGTTTATTACAAAAGTAAAATGTACATGCTAGAATTTAAAATAGCAGATGTTAAGTCTATGCCGGTCTTGGGCAGGTTTGCGTGCAGTGAGTTGGACATGGTGAGACGCGTAATGTCGATACAGGAGGATAGCGGAGTTCCCTCATTTTTAGGGCAGTACGATGACGTTTTTCAGGGTATAGGGTGCTTACCGGGGAAATACAGAATAAAATTATATGAAAATGTTGTACCGATTGTTCATGCTCCTAGGAAACTACCGTTCGCGATTAGGGACAAAGTTAAGATGAAATTGGAAGAGATGGAAAAACAAGGCATTATAGCCAAGGTAGAGGGCCCATCGGACTGGGTAAGTAGTTTAACTATTGTTAAAAAAGCTAATGGAGACATACGAGTTTGTCTTGATCCGAAGGAATTAAATAGAGCGATCAAAAGAGAATATTTTAGGTTACCGTCACTCGACGAGATTGTATCAAAACTTTCAGTTGCTAGGTATTTCAGTTCTCTGGATGCGGTAGCAGGGTTCTGGCAGGTGGCTTTAGACGATACAAGCGAGTTGTGCACGTTCAACACTCCCTTTGGACGTTACAAATTCTTAAGGTTACCCTATGGCATATGCTCGGCACCAGAGGTGTTTCATAAAAAAATATACGAAAATTTTGATGACTTAGATGGAGTTTGTATGTAGATCGACGACTTATTAATATACGGTAGCAGCAAAAAAGAACATGATGAAAGATTAAAATTAGTATTGGACAGGTGCAGGAAAATCAACCTCAAATGAAATAAAAATAAGTGCAAATTTATGTTAGAAGAAATCAGGTATTTGGGACACAGGATTACTAAGAAGGGGCTTTATCCGGATAACTCGCACATTACAGCAATTACGAACATGCCTAAACCTGGAAATAAAAAGGATGTAGAGCGATTACTAGGACTAATTACTTACGTGGGTGCTTTTATACCAAATTTATCTGATAAGACATTGTTGTTGAGAGAGTTTAAAAAAAAAGAAACGGAATGGCACTGGGATGAACGACATGACGAGTGTTTAAAAGTTATAAAACAGTGTTTATCAAAACCACCAGTGCTGAGATATTACGACTTAGACCTCCCTATTACTATCTCAGTAGATGCGAGCAAAAGCGGCTTAGGTGCCTGTCTAATGCAAAAAGGAATGCCAGTTTGTTATGCGTCTAAGTCATTGTCAAAAGCAGAACAGCGATATGCTCCGATAGAGAAGGAGTTATACGCTTGCGTTTTTGCTTGTGAGAGGTTTCATGCGTACATTTACGGAAGAACAGATGTCGTGATCGAAACTGATCACAAGCCACTCGTTAGCATTATAAAGAAACCAATAGTGGACTCACCATCGCGCCTTCAACGGATGTTATTGAAATTACAACGCTATACATTCAAATTAGTCTACAAAGCCGGTAAACATCTATTTATTGCAGACGCGTTGTCACGGGCATACGAGCACGAGCCGGCGTTGAGCGCGCAGGTTTCCAGCGCTGACTATACACAGTACGATAAAGTTTGCGCGATCACAAGAGATATGGCACTGAGCGCAGCGACTGATGTTACGGACTTGCAGTTTATTACGTTGCAAAAGAGTTCAGAAAATGATGATGAACTCGCGTTGTTGAGGAAATACATAAGAGAAGGGTGGCCTACAAACAAACATGACGTCATAGATTTGGTAAAGCCATATTGGGGCTATAAAGAGCATTTATCGATCGCGTATGGTCTATTCTGGAAGGATCAAAGGATAGTGGTGCCAAAACTCTTAAGAAAAGATTTGTTAAAAAAGATACACGTCGGTCATGTAGGGTTGCAAAAATGTCAATTGCGGGCAAGGGAGACAATATTTTGGCCGGGAATAAATAACGATTTAACAAATTTAATATCTAATTGTAGTATTTGCCTGACGTACAGGAAAAACAACCAAAAGGAAGAAATGCAACCTCACGAAATTCCCGACCGACCATGGGCAAAAGTAGGTACAGATCTAATTCAAATAAAATTATTAGTCGATTACTATAGCAAATTTTTTGAAATAGAGAAATTACAATGTACAACTTCAGCGAGTATAATTGAAACCCTAAAAAACATATTTAGTCGTCAGTGTATACCGAACGTAGTCATGTCTGATTGTGGTCCACAGTTTTCATCAACCCTGTTTAGACAGTTTTCGTTAGAATGGAATTTCAAACACATAACCTCATCGCCACGATATCCGCAATCTAAAGGACAAATTGAGCGAATGGTACAAACTGTAAAAAACATAATACTTAAAAGTAAAGAAGATAGAGTTGATTATCGATTGGCTTTATTAGAGTATCTTAACACACCTTTAGAAAATGATATTTCATCACCAGCTGAGTTATTGCAAAGTAGGAAATTCAGAAGTATGTTACCAAAGTTAGATTACACTTTAAAACCAAAATTACAAAAGAATGTACATAATAAATTAGTCATGAGGCAAAATAATCAAAAATACTACTACGACCAACATACGCGAAATCTAGACCAATTAAGTAACGGACAAAAAGTAAGGGTACTACTAGATGTAAACCAAAGAGAATGGTTATCAGGGACAATATTGTGTCAGCTGCGATATCGTTCATATAAAATAAAATTAGCAAACGGGAGCATTATTATACGTAACAGACGCCATATTATTAAAGATTCTCAACATAGACAGGACGCGCCGCACTATACTTTAAACAATTACGATGATGTCCGACCTCACTGCCCGCAAAACAATCAAGTTTCCAACGGTACTATACCTTCTGAAGCCTCACCTAATACAGTAAACAACAATAATTATTATTTCACACGTTCCGGCAGGACAGTGAGGCCACCGGATAGATTGGGCTTTGAACACTGAACAGCGGTGATGAACAACTGCGCAGCTGCGTCGCCACAGTCACCGTGTTCAGTGAAAACAAAACTCTAAATTATAACGTACGCTCAAATAATGAAAATAAAGTATGTAAAAAAAAATGTAAACTATCAAAACCCGGCATGATATTGTTTTTTGCTTGTTAAGCTGCACAGCATGCACGTTTATTACACCAAAGGTCCCAGGTTCGATTCCTGACTGGACTTATAATTTTAATTAGTTGGTGTATTATTTTAGAATGATTACTTAAGAAATGAAATAAATGTAATTGATTTATTAATTTAAAAATAAAATAAGTATTACTAATAAAAAAAAGAAATTGACCGGATTAAAAAAAATAATAATAATTTAATTTAAGTAATTACATGAACATTTCATACTATACATACACATATTGTAATGCCAGTGATTTCATAATTGATTTTTTATTTATTTATTTATTTATTTATTCTTTATTGCATTCCTTAACCTAAAAGAATACAAAGGGCGGACTTAATGCCTTGTGGCATTCTCTACCAGTCAACCCATGGAGTGGTGAGAATTTGAAGTAGGTGTAGCAATATAGAATAAAAAGAAAATAGAAATGTATAATTAATTACATTATATATACATATTACTATTATATACAATAAATAAACTATAAAAATATATCCTATTTATACATGTATACAAATATATACGTACATACATAAGCATACATATATTCATACCAACATACATATACAAATAATATATATTAATAACTATAAATATATACGTCTAAAATATAAATGACATGGATGATTCATCTAAGAAGCGTTGTCTTTAACAGATAGATGATTACGCACCAACTTTTTAAAAGCAAATTTAGTGGGAGCTTTTCTGATGTCGTCAGGCAAGGAGTTCCAAAGGCGTGCAGCCTGAACTGTAAAGGAGTTACCATAGAACTCGGTGAAGTGAACTGGAATACAAATTTTGTTGTTAGAAGACGAACGTAGAACCCTATCATGAGATGAGGAGAGATAGTGAAATTTGCTCTTAAGATAAGAAGGCGAAAATGGGTCATTTAATATGGAAAAAAGAACAAGTAATATTCTGGAAATACGCCTCTGCCGGATTGTAAGCCAATTAAGCTTAGATCTATATTGCGAAATATGGTCATACTTACGAAGCCCGAAAATAAATCTTATACAATTATTGAGAAGGCGTTCCAGCTTGTTCAGAAGATCCTGGGACAGATCCGGGTAACACACATCTGCATAATCAAATATGGGTAATATGAGTGATTGGACAAGCATGATCTTAGACTTTGTGGGGAGAAAATGTTTTAAACGATACAGAGTACGTAACGTAGCAGTGACTTTACGACTGACTTCAGTAACCTGAGTTCTCCAATTCAGCGTGTTGTCAATGTGTAGGCCAAGATTTTTTACAGACTTACTGAACGGTATTGTAATCCCATTGTAGTAGATAGAGGGTATGTCTGCAAGATTAATCTTGGCTAGCATCCTTGAGCTACCCACCAGTATAGCTTGGCATTTTGAAGGATTGACCAATACTCCATAACGAGTAGACCAATCCTTGATAGCTTGTAAGTTGTTATTTAATTTTTTAATCCCATTATGGATATCCCCAATTTCAGCTTGCACGTATAGCTGAAGGTCATCGGCATACAGATGGTACGAGCAATCGAAGATGGAGGTAATAAAGTTTATAAAAATAGAAAAAATTATAGGAGAAAGAATACCGCCTTGCGGTACACCAGCTTCCACATCAGCCCAAGCTGAGGTTATTTGCCCCACACAGACTGACTGCTGTCGACCGCGAAGATAAGATGCAAACCATTCCAATGCTGTAGGGCCAAAATTTAGATGAGACAGTATGGATAGAAGGATTTCATGATCAACTGTGTTGAAAGCATTTGAGAAATCAACTAGTACCAGTACTGTTACTTTTTTTTCTTCCATACCGTTTCTAATATCGTCTGTGACGTTAATTAAAGCAGTACTGGTACTATGACCAGGGCGAAACCCAGACTGATATATACTCAGTAGGTTATGTTTCGAAATGAATGTAGAAATTTGCTTGTAAACACAGGATTCTAAAATTTTGGATAGAAAGGGTAGAATGGATATAGGGCGAAAATGATTGGGAAGAATGGGAGAAGGAACTTTTGAAAGGGGCCTTATAAAAGCCCTTTTCCAAAGATTAGGGTACTGACCTGAATCAAGAGAAAAATTTATAACATGGGAAATTGCCGGAAGAAGGTGCTCTAGTATAAATACTACCATTTGTCTACTAATCTCATCATAACCCACCGCCTTGGACTGAATTGCTAAAATAGACTTTTTGACATCATCCTGCGAAACAGGAGAGAAATTAAAGGTAGGTATATTAGGAATTTGCACAGAAGCAATAGAAGCCACAGTTTGAGAGCGAATTGTAGGGTCCATTGCTGTTACAGAAGCGAAATGTTGGTTGATTTCATCAAGTGATAGAGAAGGACCACAATCCAATGTAGCTGGCCTGCAAAGACCAGAAGATCTAAGAAATTTCCACACTTCGGCGGGAGAAGAGTTGTTAATACAATTATGGAAATATCGGCGTTTAGCTGCCCGTACCATTTGATTGCACCTATTCCTGGCTGCTTTAAAAGATGACCAATTTTCTTCATTACGTTCTCTCTTAAAACGAAGAAAAGCTCGATTACGTCTAGTCATTGCCATCCTTACGCCCTCTGTCATCCATGGGGCTGGAGGACGCTTCAATCTAACCTTGTGAATTGGGGCATGAGCATCATAAAGGCTGAGAATATTTTGGTTAAGGATAGAGACTTTATCGTCAACAGTAGGTGCTGCAATAAATGAGGTTAGATCCAGACTAAGAGCGTCATCCCTTAGCTTGTCAAAATCTATTTTAGAAAAACTGCGCAGATGCAGTACAGAAGGGGAATATTTGGGAGGTTTTAGCTTATACGAAGAATAAATCAAGTCATGACGTGAGATGCCCAAAGCAGGTAACTGTCCGTGCGTCATCACACGATCAGGAGAAGCAGCAAGGATGAGATCAATCAATGAGTCATCGGTTCCAATATTGTGATGAGTAGCCTTTAAAGGGAGAATAGAAAGATTAACCGACTCAACAATTGAAAGAAGTTTTTTGGAACGAGGAGAGTTTTTCAACAAATCTGTATTGAAGTCACCCATGATTATACAGTGTGCGTACTCAGAACAAATATCAACAAGAGCCATATCTAAAGTGGCGAAGTAATCTGTCGAAGGGGGGCAATACACTACCCCTAGAAGCATCCTTATACCCTTGACATCAAGTTCCAAAAATAAAAACTCAGAAGAGGCAGAGTAACAGGAAGGAGATGCTGAAACAATTTTATGAGGAATTGATGCGTGTAGGTAAATGGCTACACCACCTCCACCTTTTCCAACCCGATCATTCCTAACAAGTACAAAGCCGGGTAGGGGATATAAAGTTGACGGTAAAGAAGGCTTTAGCCAACTTTCCGACACTAATATGGCATGAATATGCTCGGGTGAAAATGAAGCTTCGAGTTCGGTGTAGTGGTTCGGGATACTTTGAGCGTTTATGTGACATATGTTCAGAGAGTTGTTAAAAGGCTTAAAAACCTCTTTGAGTAGTTGGTGTAATTCAAGCACACTGTCGGTAAAGGAATCATCACAAGAGTAAAATGATATGGCAGAAGAATCATTTGCAGAGCTAAATGACTCAAAATCAGACATAATTCATAGACTAAGATAATACATAAATAAAATAAATATACAAAAAAAAAAAAAACTAAACAAAATTATATATAAAATATAAAAGTAAGGAATGTAAACTATAAAACTAATTTATATGCTAAAACGTAGTAAACATAAACAACACCATCCCATCAGTTAACCGTTTACAAAGTAAACTTAATATAAATAAATTTTATGTGCAAACTATAAAATATAATATCTGAAGTGGCAAAATATTTTGTCTAATAATATTAATATTCCTAAATAGGTATCTCACAAAATAATAAGAGTCTACCATAATAAATCGATTACAAAATTAAAGTACAAAATCGATAGTGGCTGTATGGTACATTTGTCCTTTGTCTAGCAAGGCTAAAAAAAAAAAAATAATGTCAAAATTATAAATCAAATGGAAAATATTATGTATAGTTTTTACGGTCAATTTAGGGTACAATTATAAAAGTAAAAAACAATAAGTATTGTTAGCACAAATTATAAAGATGATTGTAATTAGATTATTACCATTAACATGCATAGCATAGATAAACCTACTAAATAAGTAAGACTCCTCTACTAACTAACTAAAGAGAAAACTAAGCATAAGCAAGTGATATACTAGACATGAAACATGATTAAATTCTATCTTGATTTACAAGGACAAACATTCCAAAGGAGTTTATTTTACAAGGAAAAGAAATTAAAAAAAAAAAAAATTGCAATAAAACAGCTATTACAAGCGAACTACTCAAAAGTATAGGCATAATAGTGT